CCCCCCAGTGTCCCCATCCCCGTCCCCGCAGGTGGAACCGCGTGATCGTGGAGAAGCCGTTCGGGCGGGACCTGCGCTCGTCGGAGGAGCTGTCGGAGCACCTGAGCTCCCTGTTCCGTGAGGAGCAGATGTACAGGATGGACACTACCTGGGCAAGGAGATGGTGCAGAGCCTCATGGTGCTACGGTGGGACATGGGGACATGGGGGAGTCACAGGGACATGGGGGGTGACAGATGTACAGCATGGACACTACCTGGGCAAGGAGATGGTGCAGAGCCTCATGGTGCTACGGTGGGACATGGGGACATTGGGGACATTGTCAGGGACATGGGGGTGTCACAGGGACATGGGGGTGTCACAGGACATGGGGGTGCAGAGCATCATGGGGTGCTCACAGTGGGACATGGGAGTGGCATGGGACATTGGGGTGACAGATGTACAGGATGGACACTACCTGGGCAAGGAGATGGTGCAGAACCTCATGGTGCTACGGTGGGACATGGGGACATTGGGGACATTGTCAGGGACATGGGGGTGTCACAGGGACATGGGGGTGTCACAGGGACATTGGGGTGACAGATGTACAGGATGGACACTACCTGGGCAAGGAGATGGTGCAGAGCCTCATGGTGCTACGGTGGGACATGGGGACATTGGGGACATGGGGGGTGACAGATGTACAGAATGGACACTACCTGGGCAAGGAGATGGTGCAGAGCCTCATGGTGGAACACTGGGGACACTGGGGGGGGACACTGGGGGCAACTCAGAGACATTGGGGACATCAGGAGGGACATTGGGGATGTCGAGGGGACACAGATGCCACCAGGAAGAGGTGGCCACCACGATGGCCACCAGGACAAGGGGGGTGGCCACCAGCAGGGAGGGAAAGGCCACCACAGGGAGCTGGGTTTGGGGACACGGAGGGGATTGGGGGTGACAGTGAGTCCAGGGGGGTGACCCAGGTGGCAGGGGGTGACCCAGGTGACAGGAAGGTGACAGTGGGTGACCCAGGTGCCAAGAGGTGATGGCAGTGCCAGGAGGTGCCAGGAGATGACAGGGGGTGACAAGAGATGCTGGAGGGTGACAGGAGATGCCAGGAGACAAGAGATGGCAGGAGGTGACAGCAGATGGCAGGAGGTGACGGGGGGTGACAGCAGTGCCAGGAGGTGACATGGGGTGCCAGGGTGTGACCCAGGTGCCAGGAGGTGACAGAGGTGACAGGGGGTGCCCAAGGTGACAGGAGATGACAGGAGGTGACAGGGTGTGACCCAGGTGACAAGAGATGCCAGGAGGTGATGGCAGTACCAGGAGGTGACAGGAGGTGCCAAGAGATGACAAGAGATGGCAGGAGGTGACAGGGGGTGACAGGAGGTGACAGGGGGTGAAAGGAGATGCCAGGAGGTGACAAGAGATGGCAGGAGGTGACAGGGGGTGACAGCAGATGCCAGGAGGTGACGGGGGGTGACAGCAGTGCCAGGAAGTGACAGGGGGTGCCAGGGGGTGACCCAGGTGCCAGGAGGTGACAAAAGATGCCAGGGGGTGACACAGGAGCTGCCAGGAGGTGACAAGAGATGCCAGGAGGTGACAAGAGAGGACAGGGGGTGCCAGGAGGTGCCAGGAGGTGCCAGGGTGTGCCAGGAGGTGACAGGAGATGCGGAGCAGGAGTGAGTGCCAGGGTGCCAGGTGACAGGAGGTGTCAGAGTGTCCCCGGTCAGGTTCGGTAACCGGATCTTCGGGCCGATCTGGAACCGCGACAACGTGGCCTGCGTGGTGCTCACCTTCAAGGAGCCCTTCGGCACCGAGGGCCGCGGGGGGTACTTCGACGACTTCGGCATCATCCGGTCAGTGCCCGGGGGTCCCAGGGTCACCAGGGGGGTCACAGGATCACCAGGGGGTCCCAGGGTCACCCAGGGTCGGGTCCCAGGGGTCCAGGGTCACAAGGGGTACTTCGACGACTCGGCATCATCCGGTCAGTGCCCACCCCCTGAGGGGCACGGGGTCACCAGGGGGGTCACCAGGGGTCACAGGGGTCCCAGGGGGTCCCAGGGTCACCAGGGGGGTCACAGGGTCACCAGGTCAGGGGGTACTGGTCGACCGGACTCCGGCAGGGTCATCACAGGGTCAGGGTCCCAGGGTCCCACTGGGGGGGTCACAGGGGGTCACCAGGGGGTCACAGGTCCCAGGAGGGTCACAGGGGCAGGGTCCCAGGGTCACCAAGGGGGTCCCAGGGTCAGGTCACAGGGGGTCACAGGGGGTCCAGGGTCACCAGGGGGTCACAGAGGGTCCCAGGGAGTCCCAGGGTCCGAGGGGGGTCACAGGGGGTCACCAGGGGGGTCCCAGGGTCACCACAGGGGGTACTTCGACGACTTCGGCATCATCCGGTCAGTGCCCACCCCCCTGAGGGGCACAGGGTCACCAGGGGGGTCCCAGGGGGGTCCCAGGGTCACCAGGGGGGTCACAGGGGGGTCCCAGCATCACCATGGGGGTCACAGAGGTCACAGGGGGGGTCCCAGGGTCACCACAGGGGTCCCAGGGTCACCAGGGGGGTCACAGGGGGGTCCCAGGGTCACCAGGGGGGTCACGGGGGGGTCACAGGGGGTACTTCGATGACTTCAGCATCATCTGGTCAGTGCCTGGGGGTCCCAGGGTCACCAAGGGGGTCCCAGGGGTCACCAGGGGCCACCGCCACCTCCACGGAGGTCGCAAGGGAGTCCCAAGGTCACCACGGGGATCCCAGGGGTCACTACGGGGTCCCCAAGTGTCCATGGGGGTCCCAGGGTCACCAGGTGGTCACCTGGAGGTCCCAGGGTCACCAAGGGGTTGAAGAGGTCACCACAGGGTCACCATGGGGCCCCCAAGGCCCATGGGGGTCCCAGGGTCATCTGGGGTTACAGAGGGTCCTGTGGTCACCAAGGGGTCCCCAAGGGTCCATGAGGGTCCCAGGAGGCCCCCAAAGGTCCATGGGGGTCCCCAGCAGGTCCCACAGTCACCAGGGGGTCCCCTAAGTGTCCATGGGGGTCCCAGGGTCACCAGGGGGTCCCCAAGTGTCCATGGGGGTCCCAGGGTCACTGGGAGGTCCAAGAGGTCATCAGGGACTCTCCAAGGGTCCATAGAGGTCCCAGGGTCATCTGGGGTCACCAGGGGGTCCCTAAGGGTCCATAGGAGACCCAGGGTCACGGGGGTCTCCAGGGGGTCCAAGAGGGGGTCCCAGGGTCACTGGGGGGTCCAAGAGGTCCCCAGGGTGTCCCCAAGGGTCCATAAGGGTCCCAGAGTCACCGGGGGGTCCAAGAGGCCCCCAGGATGTCCCAGAGGTGCCCAGGGTGTCCCCAGGGGTCCATGAGGGTCTCCAGGGGGTCCCTAAGTGTCCATGGGGGTCCCAGGGTCACCAGGGTGTCCCCAGGGGTCCATAGGGGTGACAAGGTCATTGGGGGTCACCATGGGGTCCCAGGGTCACCAGGGGGTCCTCAAGTGTCCGTAGAGGTCCCAGGGTCACTGTCCAGGAGGTCCAGGGGGTCCCCAGGGGCCCATAGGGGTCCCAGGAGGTCCCCAAAGGTCCGTGGGGGTCCCCAGTAGGTCCCATGGCCCTCAGGGGGTCCCCAAGGTTCCATAGGGGTCCTAGGGTCACGGGGGGTCCAAGAGGTGCCCAGGGTGTCCCCAGGGGTCCAAGAGGGGGTCCCAGGGTCACTGAGGGGTCACAAGGTCCCCAGGGTGTCCCCAGGGGTCCATAGGGGTGACAAGGTCATTGGGGGTCACGAGGGTGTCCCCAGGGGTCCCAGAGGTGCCCAGGGAGTCCCCAGGGGTCCCAGTGTCCCCCCCTGTCCCCAGGGACGTGATGCAGAACCACCTGCTGCAGCTGCTGTGCCTGGTGGCCATGGAGAAGCCGGCGTCCACACACCCCGACGACGTGCGCGACGAGAAGGTGCCACCACCACGCCTGGGGACACCTTGGGGGCATCTGGGGACAGCTGGGGGGGTCTGGGGACACCTGGGGGTGTCTGGGGGCAGTTGGGGACAGTTGGGGACAGCTGAGGGCAGTTGGGGACAGTTGGGGGTGTCTGGGGACAGCTGGGGGTGTCTGGGGGCAGTTGGGGGCAGTTGGGGACAGCTGGTGGCCATGGAGAAGCCGGCGTCCACACACCCCGACGACGTGCGCGACGAGAAGGTGCCACCCCAGGGACACCAGGGACACCTGGGACAGCTGGGGACAGCTGGGGGCAGCTGGGGGTGTCTGGGGGCAGTTGGGGACAGTTGGGGACAGTTGGGGGTGTCTGGGGGTGTCTGGGGTAGTTGGGGACAGCTGGGGGCAGTTGGGGATAGTTGGGGACAGCTGGGGGCAGTTGGGGACAGTTGGGGACAGCTGGGGACAGCTGGTGGCCATGGAGAAGCCGGCATCCACACACCCTGACGACGTGCGCGACGAGAAGGTGCCACCACCACGCCTGGGGACACCTGGGGACAACTGGGGGTGTCTGGGGACAGCTGAGGTGTCTGGGGGTGTCTGGGGGTGTCTGGGGCAGTTGGGGACAGCTGGGGGTGTCTGGGGGTGTCTGGGGGCAGTTGGGGACAGCTGGGGACAGCTAGGGGCAGCTGGGGTGTCTGGGGACACCGGGGGACAGCTGGGGGCAGTTGGGGACAGCTGGGGGTGTCTGGGGGTGTCTGGGGTTGTCTGGGGGCAGTTGGGGCAGCTGGGGACAGCTGGGGGTGTCTGGGGGTGTCTGGGGGTAGTTGGGGGCAGTTGGGGACAGTTGGGGACAGCTGGGGGCAGGTGGTGGCCATGGAGAAGCCGGCGTCCACACACCCCGACGACGTGCGCGACGAGAAGGTGCCACCACCACACCTGGGGACACCTGGGGACAGCTGGGGACACCAGGGACAGCTGGGGGTGTCTGGGGACAGCTGGGGGTGTCTGGGGGCAGTTGGGGACAGTTGGGGACAGTTGGGGGCAGTTGGGGACAGTTGGGGACAGTTGGGGACAGCTGGGGGTGTCTGGGGGCAGTTGGGGACAGTTGGGGACAGTTGGGGACAGTTGGGGACAGCTGGGGGCAGCTGGTGGCCATGGAGAAGCCGGCATCCACACACCCCGACAACGTGCGCGACGAGAAGGTGCCACCATCACACCTGGGGACACCTGGGGACACCTGGGGACAGCTGGGGGCATCTGGGGACACCTGGGACAGCTGGGGGTGTCTGGGGACAGCTGGGGGTGTCTGGGGGCAGCTGGGGACACCGGGGACAGCTGGGGGTGTCTGGGGGCAGTTGGGGACAGCTGGGGGTAGTTGGGGGCAGCTGGGGACATCTGGGGGCAGTTGGGAGCTCCTTGGGGACATCTGGGACTTCTAGGGGCACCTCAGGGACATCTGGGGGCACCTCAGGGACCTGGGGGACATCTGGGGACACCTCAGGCACTTGGGGGGGCACCTGGGGGGCATCTGGGACATCTGGGGGGCGTCTGGGGGCTCCTCAGGGACGTCTGGGGGTGTCTGGGGACACCTCGGGGACATTTGGGGGGCACCTCGGGGGCATCTGGGAAGCACCTTGGGAACATCCGGGACATCTGGGGTCACCTCAGGGGCATCTGGGGGGCATTTGGGGGCACCTTGGGGACCTGAGGGGCACATCACAGACCTGGGGGGCACCTCGGGGACATCTGGGAAGCACTTTGGGAACATCTGGGACATCTGGGGGGCCATCTGGGGGTACCTTGGGCACCGAGGGGACCCCCAACCCCACATCCCACCCTGTCCCACCCTCCCTGGTGCCCCCAACCCACATCCCACCCTGTACCCCCTCCTGGTGCCCCCAACCCCACATCCCGCCCACCCCACACCCTCCTGGTGCCCCCCAACCTCCCCAAACCCCATAATTCACCCTGTACCCCTCTCCCTGGTGGCCCCCAAGTCACCTCCCCCCTGTCCCCATCCCCTGGTGCAGGTGAAGGTGCTGAAGAGCGTCAGCCCCGTGCCCCAAAGTCCCCTGTCCCTGTCCCCAAAGTCCCCTGTCCCTGTCCCCTTTGTCCCCATTGTCCCTGTCCCCATTGTCCCCATTGTCCCCTTTGTCCCCAATGTCCCTGTCCCCATTGTCCCCATTGTCCCCATTGTCCCTGTCCCCACTGTCCCTGTCCCCTCAGGTGAAGGTGCTGAAGAGCATCGGGGCGGTGCCCCATTGTCCCCTGTCGCTGTCCCCATTGTCCCCATTGTCCCCTGTCCCTGTCCCTGTCCCTGTCCCTGTCCCCATTGTCCCCATTGTCCCCATTGTCCCCATTGTCCCTGTCCCTGTCCCCCGTGCAGGTGAAGGTGCTGAAGAGCATCGGGGCGGTGCCCCATTGTCCCTGTCCCTGTCCCCATTGTCCCTGTCCCTGTCCCCATTGTCCCCATTGTCCCCTCAGGTGAAGGTTCTGAAGAGCATCGGGGCGGTGCCCCATTGTCCCCATTGTCCCCATTGTCCCCCCTGTCCCCACTGTCCCCATTGTCCCCTCAGGTGAAGGTTCTCAAGAGCATCGGGGCGGTGCCCTATTGTCCCTGTCCCTGTCCCTGTCCCCATTGTCCCCTGTCCCCCGTGCAGGTGAAGGTTCTGAAGAGCATCGGGGCGGTGCCCCATTGTCCCCTGTCCCTGTCCCCATTGTCCCCATTGTCCCCATTGTCCCCATTGTCCCCACTGTCCCTGTCCCTGTCCCTGTCCCCACTCTCCCTGTCCCCCCGTGCAGGTGAAGGTGCTCAAGAGCATCGGGGCGGTGCCCCATTGTCCCCATTGTCCCCATTGTCCCCATTGTCCCCATTGTCCCTGTCCCTGTCCCCAATGTCCCCCCTGTCCCTGTCCCCCGTGCAGGTGAAGGTTCTGAAGAGCATCGGGGCGGTGCCCCATTGTCCCCATTGTCCCCAATGTCCCTGTCCCTGTCCCCCCGTGCAGGTGAAGGTGCTCAAGAGCATCGGGGCGGTGCCCCATTGTCCCCATTGTCCCCATTGTCCCTGTCCCCCCAGGTGAAGGTTCTCAAGAGCATCGGGGCGGTGCCCCATTGTCCCCATTGTCCCCATTGTCCCCAATGTCCCCACTCTCCCTGTCCCCCCGTGCAGGTGAAGGTTCTCAAGAGCATCGGGGCGGTGCAGCTGCAGGACGTGGTGCTGGGTCAGTACGTGGGGAACCCCCAGGGCCCCCCCGAGGCACAGAAGGGGTACCTGGAGGACCCCACGGTGCCCCCCGGATCCACCACCCCCACCTTCGCCACCGCCGTGCTGCGCGTGGCCAACGAGAGATGGGACGGTGAGGGGGACACTGGGGACACTGGGGACACTGGGGATACTGGGGATACTGGGAGATGGGGGACACTGAGGGACACTAGGACACTGCAGAGATAGGGCGTGGCCACGAGAGATGGGACGGTGAGGGGAGACACTGGGGACACTGGGAGACACTGAGGAGACACTGGGGATACTGAGGGACACTGGGGACACTGGGGGACACTGGGGACACTGAGGGGATGGGGGACACTGGGGACACTGGGGACACTGGCGGGGATGGGGGCGTGGCCAACGAGAGATGGGACGGTGAGGATGGGGGTAGGGGCACTGGGGACACTGGGGACACTGGGGACACTGGGGACACTGGGGACACTGGGGACACTGAGGGGATGGGGCGTGGCCAGCGAGAGATGGGACGGTGAGGGGACACTGGGGACACTGGGGACAATGGGGACACTGGGGACACTGGGGATACTGGGGACATTGGGGAGATGGGGGCGTGGCCAACGAGAGATGGGACCGGTGAGAGGGACACTGGGGACACTGGGGACACTGGGGACAATGGGGACACTGGGGGCACTGGGGACACTGGGGACACTGGGGACACTGGGGGGACAATGGGGACACTGGGGGATGGGGGACAGGGGGACACTGGGGACATTGGGGGATGGGGGACACTGGGGGATGGGGCGTGGCCAACGAGAGATGGGATGGTGAGGGGGCACTGGGGACACTGGGGACACTGGGGACACTGGGGACATTGGGGACATTGGGGGATGGGGGACATTGGGGACACTGGGGGATGGGGCGTGGCCAAGAGAGATGGGATGGTGAGGGAGCACTGGGGACACTGGGGACACTGGGGACACTGGGGACATTGGGGACATTGGGGGATGGGGGACATTGGGGACACTGGGGGGATGGGGGCGTGGCCAACGAGAGATGGGACGGTGAGGGGGGATGGGGGGGATGGTGGTGACGATGGTGATGGTGGTGATGGTGACAGCAGTGACTGTGATGACTGTGATGATGGTGATGGTGATGATGATGGTAATGGCCAAGATGGTGGGGATGGCGATGGCCAGGATGATGGTGATAAGGGGGATGGTGGGGATGGTGGCGATGATGATGATGGTGATAATGGGGATGGTGCTGATGGCCACGGTGACGATGATGATGGTGGCGATGGCCAGGATGATGGTGATAATGAGGATGGTGGGAATGGTGGGGGTGGCCAGGATGATGGTGATAATGGGGATGGTGGTGATGATGATGATGATGGTGATGGCCTGGATGATGGTTATAAGGGGGATGGTGGTGACAATGATGATGGTGGGGATGGCCAGGATGATGATGATGGTGATGGCCAGGATGCTGGAGATAATGGGGATGGTGGCGACGATGATGATGGTGGTGATGGCCACGGTGACGATGATGATGATGGTGATGGTCACAATGATGGTGATGGTGGTGATGGTGACAGCGGTGACTGTGATGACCGTGATGATGATGGTGATGAGAATGATGATGAGCGATGATGACGATGATGATGTCTATGTTGATGATGATGAGTTGATGATGATGATGATGAGAATGATGGCGATGATGATGATGATGATGTCAATGTTGATGATGATGATGGTGATGAGAATGATGACGATGGCGATGATGACGATGATGATGTCAATGTTGATGATGATGAGTTGATGATGATGATGATGAGGATGATGACGATGATGATGATGATGATGTCAATGTTGATGATGATGATGGTGATGAGAATGATGACGATGGCGATGATGACGATGATGATGTCAATGTTGATGATGATGAGTTGATGATGATGATGATGAGAATGATGGCGATGATGATGATGATGATGATGTCAACGTTGATGACGATGAGTTGATGATGATGATGGTGATGAGAATGATGATGATGATGTCAATGATGCTGCTGCTGCTGCTGCTGCTGCTGCTGATGATGATGATGATGAAGGTCCCCCCAGGTGTCCCCTTTGTCCTGTGCTGCGGGAAGGCTTTGAATGAGTGCAAGGCCGAGGGACAGGGATGGGGATGATGATGATGATGATGACGATGATGATGAGTTTGTGATGATGAGCTGATGATGATGATGCTGAGTTGACGATGACAATGATGATGCTGCTGTCCCAGGTGTCCCGTTCGTGCTGCGCTGCGGGAAGGCTCTGAACGGGCGCAAGGCCGAGGGGATGGGGATGGGGATGATGATGGTGATGAGTTGATGATGATGATGACGACGATGATGATGAGTTGATGATGATGATGATGATGATGATGCTGTCCCCCAGGTGTCTCGTTCGTGCTGCGCTGTGGGAAGGCCCTGAACGAGCGCAAGGCCGAGGGGGGATGGTGATGATGATGATGATGATGATGATGATGATGATGATGATGATGATGATGAGTTGATGATGATGATGATGATGATGAGTTGATGATGATGATGATGAGATGATGATGATTTGCCAGATGATGACGATTGATGATGATGACGATGATGGAAGGCTGATGATGATGCAAGGTTGAGATGATGATGATGAGTTGATGACGATGATGATGATGATGATGATGATGATGATGAGTTGATGATGATGAGGAGGAGGAGGAGTTGATGATGATGATGAGTTGATGATGATGATGATGATGATGATGATGATGATGATGATGATGATGATGTCCCAGGTGTCCCGTTTGTGCTGCGCTGTGGGAAGGCGCTGAACGAGCGCAAGGCCGAGGGGATGATGATGATGATGATGATGATGATGATGATGATGATGATGATGATGATGATGATGATGATGAGTTAATGATGATGAGTTAATGATGATGATGCTGTCCCCCCAGGTGTCCCGTTTGTCCTTCACTGTGGGAAGGCTCTGAACGAGCGCAAGGCTGAGGGGATGATGATGATGATGATGATGATGATGATGATGATGATGATGATGATGATGATGAGTTGATGATGATGATGCTGTCCCTCAGGATGTCCCTGCTGATGGCGATGGTCCTGAACGAGCGCATGATGATGATGATGATGATGAGTTGATGATGATGAGTTAATGATGATGATGATGACGATGAGTTGATGATGATGATGGATGATGATCGACCAGATGATCCACGATTTGTCCTATCACTGATGGACGATGACTGATGAACGAGTGACAATGATGCCGATGGTGATGATGATGATGATGATGAGTTGATGATGATGATGATGATGATGATGATGATGATGATGATGATGAGTTAATGATGATGACGATGATGATGATGTCCCCCCAGGTGTCCCGTTCGTGCTGCGCTGTGGGAAGGCTCTGAACGAGCGCAAGGCCGAGGGGATGATGATGATGATGATGATGATGATGATGACGATGATGATGATGATGATTGGACAATGATGATGATGATGATGATGATGGTTTTGATAATGATGACGATGATGACGATGATGATTTTGATTAATGATCGATGATGACGATGATTGATGATGGCAATGATGACGATGATGACGATGATGGTGATTGGATGACGATGATGACGATGATGATGATGATGGTTGGATGATGATGATGATGATGATGATGATGATGATTGGATGACGATGACGATGATGATGATTGATTGAACAATGATGACGATGATGATGACGATGATGATGATGGTTGGATGATGATGATGACGATGATGGTTGGATGATGATGACGATGATGATGGTTGGATGATGATGATGATGAGTTGGATGATGATGATGATGATGATGGTTGGATGATGATGATGATGATGATGATGCTGTCCCCCAGGTGTCCCGTTTGTCCTTCGCTGTGGGAAGGCTCTGAACGAGCGCAAGGCTGAGGGGATGATGATGATGATGATGATGATGATGATGATGATGATGATGACGATGATGATGATGATGAGTTAATGATGATGAGTTGATGATGATGATGATGATGATGCTGTCCCAGGTGTCCCGTTTGTCCTTCGCTGTGGGAAGGCACTGAACGAGTGCAAGGCCGAGGGGATGATGATGATGATGATGATGATGATGATGCTGAGTTGATGATGATGATGATGATGATGATGATGATGATGATGATGATGATGATGAGTTGATGATGATGATGAGTTAATGATGACGATGATGATGATGATGATGATGATGATGATGATGGTGATGATGATGAGTTAATGATGATGATGATGATGATGATGCTGCTGTCCCCCAGGTGTCCCCTTTGTCCTTCGCTGTGGGAAGGCCCTGAACGAGCGCAAGGCCGAGGTGCGGCTGCAGTTCCGGGAGGTGCCCGGGGACATTTTCGGGCGGCAGTGCAAGCGCAACGAGCTGGTGGTGCGGGTGCAGCCCCGCGAGGCCGTCTACGCCAAGCTCAACACCAAGAAACCCGGCATGTTCCTCAGGCCTGAGGAGTCTGAGCTCGACCTCACCTACGGCAGCAGATACAAGGTACGACTACAACCCCAAAATTGGGACATTGACCCCAAAATTGGGCTGGGAATGGGGAAATTGGGCTGTTCCTGAGGCCTGAGGAGTCCGAGCTCGACCTCACCTACGGCAGCAGATACAAGGTATGACCCCAAAACTGGGATCGGGGACACCCCAAAATTGGGCTGGGAACGGGGAAATAGGGCTGGGAATGGGGAAATTGGGCTGTTCCTCAGGCCTGAGGAGTCCGAGCTCGACCTCACCTACGGCAGCAGATACAAGGTATGACCCCAAAATTGGGACATTGACCCCAAAATTGGGCTGGGAACACCCAAAATTGGGCTGGGAATGGGGAAATTGGGCTGTTCCTCAGGCCTGAGGAGTCTGAGCTCGACCTCACCTACGGCAGCAGATACAGGGTATGACCCCAAAACTGGGACATTGACCCCAAAATTGGGATGGGAACGGGGAAATTGGGCTGTTCCTCAGGCCTGAGGAGTCCGAGCTCGACCTCACCTACGGCAGCAGATACAAGGTACAAACTGTGGGGGGGACACCCCAAAATTGGCACATTGAGCCCCAAAATTGGGCTGTTCCTCAGGCCTGAGGAGTCTGAGCTCGACCTCACCCACGGCAGCAGATACAAGGTACAACTACAACCCCAAAATTGGGCTGGGAACGGGGAAATTGGGCTGTTCCTGAGGCCAGAGGAGTCCGAGCTCGACCTCACCTACGGCAGCAGATACAAGGTACAACTACAACCCCAAAATTGGGCTGGGAACGGGGAAATTGGGCTGTAGACACAAAAATGGGACATTGAGCCCCAAAAATGGGAAATTGAGCCCCAAAATTGGGCTGTTCCTGAGACCTGAGGAGTCCAGCTCGACCTCACCCACGGCAGCAGATACAAGGTACAAACTATGGGGGGAGGACACCCCAAAAACTGGGATGGAAATGAGGAAATGGGGGGTTTAGACACGAAATTGGGACATTGAGACCCAAAAATTGGAGACTGAGCCCCAAAATTGGGCTGGGAATGGGGAAATTGGGCTGTTCCTCAGGCTGGAGGAGTCTGAGCTCGACCTCACTCACAGCAGCAGATACAAGGTATGACCCCAAAACTGGGCTGGGAACGGGGAAATGGGGGTGGAGACACAGAAATGGGGGGTGGAGAACCAAAAATGGGACATTTAGACCCAAAATTGGGACATTGAGCCCCAAAAAATGAGAGGTTCAAACGCAAAACGGGGACATGGAGACCCAAAAAGGGGGAGGTAGAAACCCAAAAGTAGGACATTGGGCCTCCAAAAGTGGGACATTGAGCCCCAAAAAGGGGAGACCCAAAAATGGGACATTGAGACCCAAAAATGGGAGGTAGAAACCCAAAACTGGGATATTGAAACCCAAAAATGGGACGTTGAGCCCCAAAAGTGGGACATTGAGACCCAAAACTGGGAGGTGGAAACCCAAAAGTGGGAGATTGAAACCCAAAATGGAGCATTAAGACCCCAAAAACAGGGTTAGAAACACAAAAATGGAGCAGTGAGACACCAAAACCGGGGGTAGAGACCCAAAAAATGGGGTTGGAAAGGTGAAATTTGGGGGTGGAGACCCAACAGTGGGACATTGAGACCCAAAAACGAGAGATAGGAACCCAAAAATGGTGTTGGAAAGGTAAAAACGGGGGGTGGGAACACAAAACTGGGGCATTGAGACCCAAAAATGGGACATTGGCACCCAAAACGGCTCACTGAGACCCCAAAACTGGGGGGTGGAGACCCCAAGAGACCCAAAATGGCTCTTTGAGACCCAAAATGGCTCTTTGAGACCCCAAAACTGGGGGGTGGAGACCCCAAGAGACCCAAAATGGCTCATTGAGACCCAAAATGGCTCTTTTAGACCCAAAATGGCTCTTTGAGACCCCCCTTAGAAAAGGGGAGGTCGAGCCCCCAAAAAGGTCCCTGGAGAACCCCCCCAAAATCGGGTTCCCTCAACCCTGGGGGTGTCCCCCCAGACCCTCCAAAGCTCCCCAAATCCCCCCCATATCCCCCCAGGATGTGAAGCTGCCCCTGGGGGTGTCCCCAAACCCCTCTAGACCCCAAATCCCCCAAATCCCCCAGGATGTGAAGCTGCCCCTGGGGTGCCCCCAAACCCCTCAGACCCCCAAGCCCCCAAATCCCCAGGACATGAAGGTGCCCCGGGGTGCCCCCAGACCCTCAAAGCCCCCAAATCCCCCAAATCCCCCAGGACGTGAAGGTGCCCCAGGGTGCCCCCAAACCCCTCCAGAACCCCCAGCCCCCAGACCCCCCAGACTCCCCAACTCCCCCAAACCCCCAGGAGGTGAAGCTGCCCCAGGGTGCCCCCAAAGCTCCCCAGACCCCCAATCCCCCAAGCCCCCAGGACGTGAAGCTGCCCTGGGGTGCCCCAGACCCTCCAAAGCTCCCCACATCCCCCAAATATCCCCCCAGGATGTGAAGCTGCCCCTGGGGGTGACCCTCAGACCCCTCAGACCCTAGCCCCCAGACCCCCAGACTCCCCAACTCCCTCCCAAGCCCCTCTCAGGACGTGAAGCTGCCCCGGAGTGCCCCCAGACCCCCAAATCCCCAAAACCCCAAAACCCCCAGACCCCCAGGATGTGAAGCTGCCCCGGGAGTGCCCCCAGACCCTCAAAGTCCCCCAGACCCCCAAACCCTGTGGGTGCCCCCAGGACGTGAAGCTGCCCCAGGGGTGCCCCAGACCCCAAATTCCCCCAGCCCTACCCAGGATGTGAAGCTGCCCCAGGGTGCCCCCAGCCCAGGGTGCCCCAGACCCCCAAATCCCCCTCAAACCCTAGATCCCCCACCCCCAGGACGTGAAGCTCCCCGACGCGTACGGCGGCTGCTCCTCGACGTCATCTGCAGGAACCAAATGCACTTCGTCAGGAGGTGGGGGGGGGCTCGAGGGAGCTCGAGAGGGGTGGGGGGCTCAGGGGGGCTCGAGGGAGAGGTGGAGGGAGACCAAAGGGAGCTTGGGGGCTCAAAAGAGGTTTGGGGGGTTCAAAGGGGTTTTGGGTGGCCTAAAGGGGGTTTGGGGGACCTGGGGAGATTTTGAGAGGGCCAAGAGGGGTTTTAGGGAGCCAAAGGGGTTGGGAGGGGCCAAAGGGGTTTGGGGGAGTGTTGGAGGGTTTGGGGGGTGTTGAGGGGCCCAAAAGGGTTGGGGGGGTTCAGAGAGGGTTTGGGGGACCTGAGGGACTTTAGGGAGCCCAAAGAGGGGTTTTGAGGGAGCCCAAAGGGGGTTTGGGGGGCTTTGAGAGGTCCAAAGGGGTTTGGGGGGTCAGGCGGGGCCTAGAGGGGGTTTGGGGGGGCCCAAAGGGTTTGAGGGGTCCGGGGGGTGGGGCCTAGAGGGGGTTTGGGGGCCCAAAGGGGTTTGGGGGAGCCCAAAGGGGTTTGAGGGTCTGGGGGTGGGGGCCTAGAGGGGTTTTGGGGGGCCCAAAGGGGCTTTGGGGGGCCCAAAGGGGGTTTGGGGGGTTTGGGAGGACCCAAAAGGGGTTGAGGGGACCCAAAGAGGGTTTGGATGGGGCTTGGAGGGAGTTTGGGGGCCCCAGGGGCTTTGGAGGGGCGTTGGGGGGCCCAAAGGGGATTGGGGGGACCCAAAGGGGGTTTGGGGAGTCCAAAATGGGGCTTGGAGGGTTTGGGGGACCCAAGGGGTTTGGGGAGCCTGGGGGGACTTTGAGGGGCCCAAAGGGGTTTGGGGGTATTGGGGGGGGTCAAAGGAGGTTTGGGGGGGCCTGGGGGGACTCTGGGGGGGCCAAGGGGTTTGAGGGCCCAAAGGGGGTTTGGGGGGCCAAAGTGGGAGGCAAAGGGGCTTTGGGGGGGTTGGGGGCCCAAAGGGGCTTTGGGGGGCTTTGGAGGGGGTTTGAGGGGGCTTGGGGGGTTTGGGGGTCCAGGTGAGCCCCGGGGGGAGGGTCGGGGGTCCCAGGTGGGGTTTGGGGGTCCCAGCTGAGCCCTGGGCGTGGTTCTGGGAGTCCCAGGTGACTGGGGGTTGTTTTGAGGTGGTCCCATGCCCCCGATTTTAGGGGTGCCCCAGGTGACTCTGGGGGTGTTTGGGGTGTCCCCAGTCATTTGAGGTGTCCCCCTGGTGATTTTGGGGGTGTTTTTGGGTGTCTGGGGGTGTCCCCCGATTTCAAGTGATTGGGGTGTTTGGGGTGTCCCCCTGATTTTGGGGTGTTTTGAGGTGTCCCCCTGGTGATTTTGGGGTGTTCCCTCTGATTTCAGAGTGTCCCTGATTTTAGGGGTGTTTTGGGGTGTTTTGAGGGTGTTTTGGGGGTGTCCCCCTGATTTAAGGTGTCCTCCAATTTCAGGGGTGTTTTGGGGATGTTTCGGGGTGTTTTGGGGGTGTTTTGGAGTGTCCCCCCCGATTTTGGGGTGTTTGGGGGTGTTTTGGGGTGTTTTGGGGTGCCCCCCCCGATTTGGGGGTGTTTTGGGGGTGTTTTGAGGGTTCCCCTGATTTCGAGGTGTCCCCCTGATTTTAAGGGTGTTTTGGGGGTGTTTTTGGGGATTTTTTTTGAGTGCCCCCCCCGATTTGGGGGTGTTTTGGGGGTGTCCCCCTCTGATTTCAGGGTGTCTGGGGGTGTCCCCCCTGATTTCGGGGTGTCCCCCCCTGATTTCGGGGTGTTTTGGGGGTGTTTTGGGGTTCCCCTGCTGATTTTAGGGTGTTCCCCCTGATTTTGAGGTATCCCCCTGATTTTGGGGTGTTTTGGGGGTATCCCCCCCTGATTTTGGGGTATCCCCCCCTGTTTTTGGGGTGTCCCCCTGATTTTAGGGTGTCCCCCTGATTTTGGAGGTGTTTTGGGGGTGTTTGGGGTGTGTTTTGGGGTATCCCCCTGATTTTGGAGTGTCCCCCCTGATTTTAGAGTGTCCCCCTGTTTTGGGGGTGTTCCCCTGATTTTAGGGAGTGTTTTGGGGTGTTTTGGGGGTGTTCCCCCCTGATTTTGGGGGTATTTTGGGGTGTCCCCCCCTGATTTTGGGGTGTCCCCCCCTGATTTTGGGGTGTTTTGGGGTGTTTTGGGGGTTTCCCCCCCTGGTTTTGGGGTGTCCCCCCCTGATTTTGGGGTGTTTTGGGGGTATCCCCCCCTGATTTTGGGGTGTCCCCCCCTGATTTTGGGGTGTCCCCCCCCCTCAGTGACGAGCTGCGCGAGGCCTGGAGGATTTTCACGCCCCTCCTGCACGAGATCGAGGAGAGGAAAGAGCCCCCCATCCCCTATCCCTATGGCAGGTGGGAAATTTGGGGGGTCCTGGGGGTCCTTGGGGGGTCCTGGGGGTCCTGGAGGGGCTGGGACAGCCCCCAATCCCATACCCCTACGGCAGGTGGGCTTTTGGGGGTCCTGGGGGGTCCTGGGGGTCCTGGAGGGGCTGGGACAGCCCCAATCCTACCCCTATGGCAGGTGGGAAATTTGGGGGGTCCTGGGGGTCCTAGGGGGGTTATGGGGGTCATTGGGGTCCTGGGGGTTATGGGGGTCACAGGGGTCACAGCACAGCCCCCAATCCCATACCCATATGGCAGGTGGGCTTTGGGGGTCCTGAGGGATTATGGGGGTCAGGGGGTCTTGGAGGGCTGGGACAGGCCCCCAATCCCATATCCCTATGGCAGGTGGGAAATTTGGGGGGTCCTGGGGGTCACAGGGTCAGGGGTCACAGGACAGCCCCATCCCTACCCATACGGCAGGTGGGAGAATTTGGGGGGTCCTGGGGGTCCTGGAGGGGCTGGGACAGCCCCAATCCCTACCCTAAAGCAGGTAGGAAATTTGGGGGTCTGGGGGTCAGGGGGTCCTGGAGGGGCTGGGACAGCCCCCAATCCCATATCCCTATGGCAGGTGGGCAATTGTGGGGGTCCTGGGGGGGTTATGGGGGTCACAGGGTCAGGGGGTCACAGGACAGCCCCATCCCATACCCATACGGCAGGTGGGAAATTTGGGGGTCCTGGGGGTTATGGGGGTCCTGGAGGGCTGGGACAGCCCCAGTCCCATATCCATATGGCAGGTGGGCTTTGGGGGGTCCTGGGGGGGTTATGGGGGTCCTGGGGGTCAGGGGGTCACAGGACAGCCCCCATCCCATACCCCTATGGCAGGTGGGAAATTTGGGGGGTCCTGGGGGGTTCTGGGGGTCAGGGAGCTCCTGGAGGGGCTGGGACAGCCCCCATCCCACTAACCCTATGGCAGGTGGGAGATTTGGGGGGTCTGGGGGGTCCTGGGGGTCAGGGGGTCACAGGAGTCCAGCACAGCCCCCAATCCCATACCCCTACGGCAGGTGGGAAATTTGGGGGGTCCTGGGGGTCTAGGGGTCACAGGACAGCCCCATCCCATACCCCTACGGCAGGTGGGAAATTTGGGGGGTCAGGGGGGTCCTGGGGGTCCTGGAGGGGGTCATTGGGGTCCTTGGGGGATTATGTGGGTCCTGGGTGGTCAGGGGTCACAGGACAGCCCCATCCCCTACCATACGGCAGGTGGGAAATTTGGGGGTCCTGGGGGGTTATGGGAGGTCTGGGGGTCATTGGGGTCCTGGGAGGTTATGGGGGTCCTGGGGGCCATTGGGGTCCTAGGGGGGTTATGGGGGTCCTGGGGGGCCATTGGGGTCCTGGGGGTTATGGGGGGTCCTGGGGGGCCATTGGGGTCCTGGGGGGTTATGGGGGTCCTGGGGTGTCATTGGGGTCCATGGGAGGTTGATGGGGGTCTGTGGGGGGTCATTGGGGTCAGGGTCACAGGGGTCACAGGACAGCCCCATCCCATACCCATACGGCAGGTGGGCTTTTGGGGGTCCTGGGGGGTTCTGGGGGGTCCTGGAGGGGTGCTGGGGACAGCCCCCATCCCATACCCTACGGCAGGTGGGAAATTTGGGGGTCCTGGGGGGTTATGGGGGGGTTATGGGGGTCCTGGGGTCAGGGGGTCACAGGACAGCCCCAGTCCCATACCCTATGGCAGGTGGGAAATTTGGGGGAGTCC